GAGTGTCAGCGTCTTTAATTTCCGAATATTGGATTACCTTATTATTTTGGTATAAGTGGCTAAGTCTTACAATGTCCCTTTGGTCAAACTGGGCAAAGTTGACTGGAGTGAGCCGTGGTGGGAAAAGTTTGTTCCTCCATATCGGGGTCATTGGGGAGAGAAATGAGGATAGGTCGTATTTATCCTGTAGTCTGTCCCATAGGTCCAAAGAATGAGTGATGGCTGGGGAGTTGGGGGGGGTAGGGATCCATGTGGTTTAGGAACCCACATATACAGGGATGGGTGATCTTTGCCAAAGATTGTGTGTTCAATGTCTACCCATCATTTGGTTTGTGGTGGGGCGTGCCAATGTTGAATCTGGGCTAGTTGCGCTGCTAGTAGTGTGAGAGGTTCGGTAACCCAAGGCCTCCGTGTTTTTTAGGAACGTAGAGTTTGTTCCTACTAACTCGGGGTTTATGTCCATTCCAGATAAACTTGTCGACCGCCGTTTGTAGGGTTTTGAGATCTGCTTTGTGGGGAGGTATGGGCAGCGTCTGAAAGAGGTATAGCAGTCGGGGAAGTAGATTCAGTTTTACAGACGCCACCCGGCCTAGCCAGGAAACTCCTAGCGTCGCCCATCTTTGCAGGTCGGTGTGTGCGATGCGTAGTAACGGTGTGTAGTTTTTCATGTATATAGTGGTTAAGTCGGCTGGTAACTGAATTCCCAAGTATGTTATGTCTGAGGGGCATATTGGGAATGGGTATTTATTTTTTAAGTTGCTTAGTTGTGATTCGGAGAGTTGGATGGGTAGGATTTCTGATTTTGCTAGGTTCAACTTGTATCCTGCGACCATTGCGTATTCGTGTATGGTTTTTAATAGGGAATCTATGGATTGGTCCGGGTAGATTAGTGTTAAGAGAATGTAGTCCGCGTAGGCAGACACCTTGTATTGTTCGCCCCTGATAGTTACTCCTTCTATATGAGGATTGCTACGAATTGCGTGGAGTAGGGGTTCTAACGATATGGCAAACATGAGGGGCGATAGTGGACACCCTTGTCATGTGCCGTTTGATATTGGGAATCTGGGCGGTGTGATGTTGGGAAGCAGGAGGGCTCCTTGAGGGGAGTGGTATGTTGCCTGCAAGAACGCAAGAAATGAGCTCGGGAAGTTCATATGTTCTAGTGTGCGGTAAAGGAAGGGCCATAGTAGGTGGTCGAACGCCTTTCGGCGTCTAGTGAGATCACTGTTGTAGGGATTTTGCAATGTTGAGTTAGCCATATAAGGTCTATGTTTCTGCGTGTATTGTCTAAAGCTTGTCTATTGGGGATGAAGCCCACTTGGTCTGGGTGTATTAATCTGTCTAGGTATGGGTTAATTCTATTGGCCATCATCTTGCTCATGATTTTGAGGTCTACATTGAGTAGAGAGATGGGTCTGTAGTGCTCGGGTTCCGTGAGATCCTTGTTAGGTTTGGGGAGTAAGCAGATATTTGCCATTGTCATGTCGGGTGGGAGGTGGTCGCCTCGTAAGGTAGCGTTGAATACTGCGCAGAGGTGTTTGAGGAGTAAGGGCAACTCTTTGTAGTAAAGAGCAGTATACCCATCTGGGACCGGGCTTTTGTTAGGTTTGCAAGCCCCACGGGCTATTGCCATCTCTTCCACTGTCGCCTCTGCTTCTAAGGATTGTTTGGCGGCTTGGGACAGGGTAGATAGGGTTATGTGTTGGAGGTATTTATCTAGCTGTTCCCGGTAGACTGTGGAGTCTCGGCCAAGGTGTGGTGAGTGGTTGTACAGGGATTCGAAGTAGAGTTGGAATGTGTCGCCTATCTGTTCGGGTAGGTCGCTGATTGAACCTGTCCTCGTGCGTATAGATGATATTTTTTTGGCTTCTATGCGTTTTTTGAGCCGAGGAGCTAACATGGTATAGGCTTTGTTGCCTGATTCATAGTATTTCTGTTTGAGCCACATCAAGGCTTTGGTCGTGTCCGTGTGCATGAGTCATTTAAGGAGGTCTCTGGCGGCGGTGAGTTCGCGCAGAGTGTGTGGCTGTGGGTCCCGTTTGTGGCTAGTTTCGAGTTTCGTAACTCGGTCAGCGTCTCTGTGATTTGCTGTGTCTTCCTTTTTTTATGGGCTGATGCTAGGCTAATGAGAGTGCCTCTGATAACAGGTTTGTGTGCAGCCCACAATGTTATTGGGGACTTGGCGGAGGCCGTGTTTGTGGTGAAGTATTCATTGATAGCTTTGGCGACTGTGAGCCTAATCTAAGTGTCATGAAGGAGAAGTGGGTTTAGTTTCCATGACCACGGTCGTTTTAGATCAGGCAGGCGTATGATGAGTGTTATGTCTGCATGATCCGACCACGAGATGGTGGCTATGGAGGTGTGAGATACCTGCGAGATCAAATTTGGGGAGATTAGAAAGTGGTCTATGCGTGAGTATGAGGTGTGTGGGTGTGAATAGAAGGTGTAGTCTCGGGTGGATGGATGTTGTGCTCTCCATATGTCGACTAGCGTTTGCGTGGTTAAGAATTGGGCAAAGTGTGTATCGTTTCGGGATGGTTGTGGGGCATCCACCCCCGCAATGATCTATCAATGGCTGGAATTTGCGTAGCGTTGCAGTCTCCGCCTACTATCAGGCGTTTGCCTGCGTAGGCTTGTAAGTGTGTGGCGTATTGTTGCCAGAACGTGCTGTTTGGGGTGGTTGGAGCGTATAGTAAGCTTATGGCATATGGTGTTGCTCCTATTTTCCCTTCTATTGTGACATAGCAGCCTTGGGGGTCTATTGTGCTCTTGATTTCTGTTAGGGGGCATGCGGTTTTGAGTATAATTGCGACCCCTTTCGTCTTTGTGTCCGGGGAGTTGGCCAAGTAGCTCTGTTTATAGTATCGGTTGGTAAGGGGGAACGATCTCGTGGTTGTGAAGTGCGTTTCTTGCAGGAGCAGTATGTCTATGTGTTGTCTATGTGCCCATCGTAGCAGTCCATGTCTCTTGATAGGGGTGTTGAGGCCTTTGGTGTTAATGGAAACGCATTTCAGGGAGAGGGGCATTATGGTGGTCGTAATCCCAGTTCGGGTCCGACTTCAGCTTCGTTGTGTGGTGTGTTGGCAGGTGGTGGGCTAGGTGGCAGGTAGGCTGATGCACGGCCTAGGGCCTCGTGCCGCGCCATTGGAGTGGGAGGGAGGGTATGGGGTGGGAGTGGTAAAAGGGAGGAGAGGGCAAGAGGGTGAGGTTCTATTAGTGGAGGCCCTGGAGGGCCGAACTACTGGTCTTACGCGTTGCCAGTAGGTGGTGGAGTGGTTCGCCTGACTGCTCCTTAGGTGTGAGGGTTAGAGTTGGTGGTGTATTGGTGGGTAGTGGCGGTTAGCCGGAGTCGTCTGCAGGCCCGTTGTTGGAGTCATTGCAATTCCTTATGGGGGTGTGGTCCGGTCGTGCTGTGTGGTAGCCTTCGGCGTCCTTGGCATCGCTCCTCGCCCCCCCCCAGGAGGTGTTAGGTGTGTATAAGCACTGTACCCAGAGTCGGTCGTTGGTGGAGGAGTATGAGTCGCTCCGATAGGTGTTGGTTCTCAGTGTGTCAGTCATCTCGTGAGTCGGTCTTCGTTGTCTCTTAGTGGTCGTGGAATGTGGTGTCCAGTTATGTGTTCTTGTCTCTGTATGGGATAAATATAAATCACATGTACAACAACATTAAGCAGTAGTATGTTGAGTTCTATGCTGTTCAATAGCATTATAGTAGCAATACAGTTGTGTTCCCGATGCATTTTATATTACATATAGATCTCAGTTAACAGTGCTCTGCCTGTCCATGTGCCGGGAGCTATTAAAACAATGCCACATCTAGCATGGTTCCCATCTGTTTTATGCTGTTTATAAATATCGATATGTATTGTCACTTCCACTTGTGCCTAGTTAACTAGCATTCTCATATCAGATTAGGTGTATTTCCTCTGTATTTTGTATGGTGCCTTAGTCATTGGAAGCGATGTCATTTCGGGGCGGGTGTCCATATGCATCGGTGGCGAGTCCTACTTATTTTTTATCTTATACATATGTGTTGTGCTGCTGGTTTATATTTCGTGTATGGTTGGTTCTGTTTAGTCTTATCTTGCTTCTGTTGTTTTTTGTATTTTTATTTTTTTGTGTGTTTTTTTCACTTTTTTCTCTTGTTCCGTTTTGTTTTGTTTTTTTTGTTTTTTTTTGTTTTGTTTTTTTCCCCTCTCCCCCCCTTTTCTTTTCTTTTCTTTTTTTCTTCCCCTTTTTTCTTTCCTTCTCTTTCTCCCCTTTTTTTTTCCTTCCCTTTCCCTTTCCCCCTCCCTTTGTTTGTTTTTCCCCCTTTTTTGTTTTTTGTTCCCTTTTTTGTTGTCTTTTCTCCCCTTTTCCTGTTTTGTTGTTCCACTCCTCACCCCCTTCCCCCCCCTTTGTTCTTCCCTCCTCTCCCCACTCATGCCCCTCCCGGGTTCGTGTGTCAGGTTCTTAACGCTATATGGTATGTTTTGGGTGGCGGTATTGCTTATGCGTCCAGGACAGAGCGAGTTCGCCCCTGTCGTGGATGCATGTGAACCGGATATGAAGGGCACATACCTTCCCTGCCTCTCTTGATCAGGGTGAGCCCTGTTCGTGCTATGTCTTATGGAGTTAAGGGTAGCCCTGAAGCGTTGGGCTGTTGTAGACTCGAGGCATGCATGGGGTCTAAGGAGTTCTAAGCTCCTTGAGGACAAACGGGGAGATTGTGTCCTCATTGGTGGGTTTCTCTAGTGTGAGGGGATTAAAGGAGATAGTGGGGAGTATGGCTCCTCCTGTGTGTCGATATGTAGGGAGTAAGGGTGTTGTATTAGCGACTCGTGTCGTGCGTGTATGTGGGCCTACGGTGTGTGCATATGGGTTTAAGCAAGTTTACAACCAAATCATAGGGAAAAATATAGGTAAGCATTGTGGCTAATTAAGTCTTATCTGATAGTCTGACGGCGGTAAATGCTGTATGTCGTCGGCCTGTCGGGATCGTGAGGGTCCTAGTTGTCCGGATTTCAATGTCCTTGGGTACGTGAGCGGGTATAGTCCATGTCGGGACACCGAAGTCTTGTTGATCTGGACGTGCGGTGTTGGTCTGCTGGCAAGCGGTGGTTAATCTCGGTTATCAGGGTTCGGATCTCCCGTGGGTGGGTGGCGTTTTTGGTGGTCCGTTTCGACTCTTCGGTTTGGCGAAGTCTGGGCCATGTTGAGCACCTCACTGTTGTTGGCGTCTACGAGGGGTATGCCCAGCCTCTCTGCAAAACTGCGTGCTTCTGCGATGTCGTGAAGTATATACGTTTGATTGTTTCTTCGCACCTTAAGTTTGAAAGGGTGCCCCCACGCATAACGGATCCGTCTCCGTGTGAGTGCCTGGGTAAGTGGTCGCAGCTCTCTTCGCTTTCGTAGGGTGCTAGGGGCCAGGTCCTGGAAGAATAGGACCTGGTGTCCCTCTATTTGGAGGGGTGTATCTCGTGCGGCTCTCATGATGGCCTCCTTGATGTGGTAATAATGGAGCCGCACTATCACATCCCGCGGCCGTGTCATTCTAGGGACGGGGGCCCATAGTGCCCTATGGGCGCGATCCAGGAGAAGTTCAACTGGGGGTGCTTCTGGGAGTAGGCTGCAGAAGGTCTCCCTGATGGTGGAGGAGAGGGACTCCATATCTATGGCTTCGGGTATGCCTCTTATTCTTATATTATTATGCCTCGATCTATTATTGAGATCTTCTTGGGCATCCTCAAGTCGTTTAACTTGTTCCCTGAGGTCTTGAATAGCCTGTTTGCTCTGGAAGAGGCGACGTCCATCTTGTCTTCTAGGGAGCTGGTGCGTTGCACGAGGTCTGTGAGGCCTGCCCGCAGGGGTGCCAAGTGTTTGGTGAATTCTGCTGCCATGTTCGCCTTAATGTCGTGCAGCAAGCCACGGAGGTCATCCCTCATGATAGGGTTTGCGTTTTGGTGACTTATGTCACTAGCTGTGGAGTCGGAATCATATTCCCTCTGCTCCTCGGCCCACTGTCCTTCCTCCAGTTTGCGGGTTCGGAAGATCAGGGCCACGGCCAACCCCTGCTTAGATTTGCGCCCACCGTCCATGTCCTCGGGTGCACCGCTAGTTGATGGTAGTATGGGTTTTTGGGCAGAATTGGAGTGGGAATTGCAGCTAATGTTAGCTTCTGAAGGGCCTGTTTGAGCGGAGCTCTAGCAAGTTGCCGCCATTCGCGCCGGAAGTCAGGCGCCGCCCCCCGTAATTTATTTTAAAATTGATCAGACCAAATACAAATTTATCAAGAGCAACTCCTTTATCAATTTTAACCAAAGATATACCCAATTTTGACTCTGCATATTAGTCCTCTCATTCAATTAAACATATTGATAATCCTATAAAAAATAAAAAATTTATACCCTTTAAACAATTAAAAGAAAGTAATAATTTAGATAATTCAGGTGCCCCAATTCACAAACAATTGATTGATTGGATTAGTTTAAATTTTGATGTTTCCAACCTGGATCTGAATAAGAGATCAATATTATTCTCACCTACAGAAAAAAAAATATTTTTCGAATCCAGGAAGGAAACATACCATATCTATTTTTCCTGCTTGACTCCCAATCTGCACAATACCTACCTGAACTTCACAATTATCCAGCTCTATCCTGCCATCCTGATTTATACTTGCTTAATCCATACAATGTCTCTGCTCTATACCTGCCTGCATAACACCACTCTGGACTTTGCCTTCAAAGTAATATTACATTCTATTTAGGGCATATTGCCCAAGTCCCTTTATTTCTGTTTTCTCTCTATCTTTCCTATAATTTCATTTATAGGTTTTCCTGTTTCTTTATGTCCAAAATCACCAATAAAGTCTCCTATCTGACCTGCTCAGAATCATGACACCAACTCCTTAATACCAAAATATTGGAAATCTACAAATATCCCATCCATTAAAGAAGTCTTAAATTTGTCAATCTAAAATTTAAAGATGTGAATTGTTTTTTAGACTAAAAACTATAAAAAAAAAATATTAATTTGCATCATGAGCATATGATGGATGCATATATTTTTATTATTTCCCCCATATTGTAATCTATATTAATTTTTTTTTAATCTTTCTGTAACTTATGTCTTTTAAAACTCAATAAAAACTATTTGAAAGGACATTAAGCGCCAGTTAAATCCCCATAGGAAAGCATTGAAGCAATGCTTTCTCTGTGAAAGTCCTAATGCACATGCCGCGCATAAGCCCCCCTTCGTCACATGACGTAAGGCTCCAACTCAGCACCAAGGGAGATCGGTTTTGGAACCAGATGGGTACAGAAAGGTTGTTTTTTTTCAGTGCTGGGGAAGGGGGCAGAGGGATCTATAGTGTAAGGAATACAGATTTCCTTTCAGGACTCCATTGGGCTCCCAGTTGTGCTAGTCCCCACATAGGATGGTACTCCCAGGTTTTGTGTTTGGTTATAGGAGGCTCAATTAGAAAAACCCTGACAGATTCACGCCCAATGCCCAGAGTAGATAGTTAAATCCTTGCTCACACCAGAGAGTCCCAGGTATCAACAGATACCTAGAGCTCTTCATTGTCTGCTGCAGCCATGTTTAGAAGCCCCAGACTTTTTGATAAGCTGCTTGTAGTGCTGGACGTTAATGCTACAAGCAGCTTTTTAAATAGGCATTTAAATGCCTTTAGTTAGATCCCCAATACACACTGCATCCACTACGTAAACACACATTCTGTATTCACTATACACACACCATCCGCTACACACATCATCCACTACACACACACTCTGTATTCATTATACACACTGCATCCACTTCACAAACACATACTTTGCATCCACTGTACAAACTGTATCCATTACACACAGACTACATCCACTATACACACACTACGTCCACTACACGGACAGTGCATCCCCTTTACACACACCTCATCCACTACACATGCACTCTGCATCCACTATACAAATTGTTAGCATACATTATATATACACACTCTGCATACACTCCACACACACAAACTGAGGAAAGGGTGGGTCTTAAACAGGAAGAGGAGCAGCCGTGACAGGAAGGTGTGGGGCAAATTTAGATTGTCTGGGTGCTCAACTTTAGTCATGCCTAGGGTAGCACAAAAACAATATAGTAGTAGATGTGTGTATGCAAAATTATTAAAGGAAGTTGGGCATCTACTGCATTAGTGGAGGTAGCTGCCTGTATATTTGATTAGTGGAGGTAATGCATAAAGCTATTTGAGTGTGAGTGTGTACAGGATTGATTAGAATTACATGAGGGTGTACATGAATGGTAAATATGTATGCTTAGGATAATGAGCGTTATGTGCACTGAGTTAGCTATCTAAGTACAGGAATATTAGATTTAACTGTGTGTTCGAATTATAAGTTGTGCTAGCTGTTTGTGTGCAGTCTGTGCAGACCTAGTACAGGAATAGCAGACATTGCTGTGTTTACAATATATATTTATATATTTGTGTATGGGGGAGGGTTGACTTTCCAGTTACATAACACTCGTTACTGCTAATTATTATTTCTAATGATTCATCTTCAGATCTAATTGTGTAGAAGACGTAGCTGAGAAATCGTTGCCTTTTAGGAGATGTGTAACAGCTAGCGGTGCCTCACTGAAGGCATGCGTGCATTTCATTGACAGATAGCTCTATGTTTCCTATGTGTCTGACAGGTATGTTTACTTCAGTAACATTGTTCTTTCTAAAAGGTAAATTTGTGTTTCTACACAAATAACTGCATCTGGGTGTCATTCAGTGACATATAGCTGTGCATCCAGGGTTTGGCAACTGTTTGTCCCTCAGTGACAGATCGCTATTTATTTAACTACACACATCTATAAAAGCCATTTAGAGACAGAATGTCTCTTAGTGATACAGAACATGTACAAAGAATGTTGCTAATTTAGGCTAAGAGGTAGTTACATGCTGCATATATGTACGGTTCTCACTTCGGTGATACTCTGCCGGACACAGTTTGCTTCTACACACTGTTGGGTATCAAATGAAAAGTGCTGCCAGGCAATACTTATCATTCATATAGAATCAGAGAGAAATACATTAATTGTCAAGGGATTCCTTAAGAATTACTTTCCATAATTTATTTCCCTTGGGCTGCACATGAAAGTTATTCCTGTCAGGCTGTATTTTGCATGTTCTTTCTATTTATATTGAATTAAATACATGTACCAGTTCACTATAGCATAAGACTGAATAATCACTGCATAATTTTGTGGTACCTGCTGTTCCCAGTCATTATCATGCCACCCCCCGCACTCCCACAACATTCATCTCCACTGCCATGCCATCTTCATGCACCCCTTTCTTGTCCATTACTTCCTTCATTTCTTTTTGACTCCCACCTTCCCTTACTTTGAAAACTAGCTTCAGGGGCCTTTTTGTATTAGTTTGTTCTCCTTCATACCCCTTTTCACTGTCCCTCACACTCCCGACTTTATCATGGTATCACCTAATCCTCCTGACATTATAACTCCATCTCCATACCCTTTAATTATTCTTTCCTTTCACACCACCTCCCTTTCATATCATATCTCTACTCTCTATTGTTCTTTTTGTATACCTTCTCCCTACCCTCTTTTGATTTTTATGCCATCCCACATTTGTTCTTTTCATGCTGATGTGCCCACATTTTATTCCAATCTCGTTACAGTTCCTTTTTCATAGTATCTCTCCATTCCACCTTTTTATACAATTCTTCTTATCATCAGCATCATGCAATCTGCATATTACTTGCCACCTCACCTCATTTTAGTTCTTTGCAATTCCTGCACAGTTTTTACTTTAATTTCGGCATCATTTTACAGGAAGAGAATCAAACATATGTCATTGTCTCAGGGTAAATGGGCAGTTTGTTAGGGCGTTCCAACTTGCTGTCATCAAATTATGTTCTTTTTGAAAGGTTGGTCCAATAAAAAAGTACTTTTATGTAAAGGTATTAATATAAAAATATAAAACAAGAAAAAATACACTCAAAGTGAGGCAGATAATAATAATAATAAATACACTTAATGTGTTTCACCTGGCAAGAGGCTTTCTCAAAAGCAGAGCTGCTTATGTTTCCACCATTTGAGTGACTGCAACCACCAAGAACCACACTATATCCATAGGCAGGGATTGTTCCGCCCAGGCGTTCAAGCTGGGCATAAAATTTTAGCTCCAGGAAATTGTGAGTGTATTTCTTTTGTTTTATTCTATTTATATGGACAGTGAAATACTACACTATATATTTTTCCCCTTTTTTTCTTTTTCGCCCTGCTTTTATATATATATTTTTAAGGACACTTTAGGCGCTGCACCACTCCTTGTACTTTCATCTGTTTGTGGACAGGATGAGAGACCCCGGCTCCGGTGATTTAGCTGCAGTTTGGACTGTTCCAGTTATTGCTTAGCGCTGAATACCCTTTAGCTTTTTCGATATTTATTTTTTTGCCATATATTTGTTTTTGGTCAAGATTCTTTCTTTCAGATTTAGTGTAGTGTGCACCCAGAAATTATACATTTTAAGGAGTTATTTTTAAATGGCATAAATATCCTTTTCCTCATTTGGAAAAATATTATCTAATTTTAGTTCAATTGAGGTGCCAATATTAGATTTTATTTTAAATCAAAGTCTGTAACTTTTTCTACCAAATAAAAATGATACCAAAACATATTTTTTTACAAAACAGACAGATAAGCCAAGCATTTTCACTGAAAGCTTTTAGGCATATCTCATACAACTATTTTACCATAAAGTTTTTTTTCTGTGTAACTGTATGAAATTACCCCACAATAATTGCAGTTCTTCAAATTGTGAAAACAGTTGGTACAAATAAGACACAGTACATTATAACTAAGAGACAATACAAAATATAATAAACCACTACAGGAGGAGGTGATGAGGGTCCTATACCTGTGGGGGGTGGGAAACGGGAGACGGGTACTGCAAGATTGAAAATGGGGTTAATACAGAGTGAGGACATTTATTGACTAAGTGTAATGCATTAATTACAAAGTTGAGTGGTAGGCTTCCCTGAAAATAGTGTCTTTAGGGAGCGTTTAAAGAAAGAG